TTGGGAGATGTGACTGAAAGTATTCAGTTCCTATTCTTTTGAGAATTTGATGGGGTGGATCAAAAGGACTGATTCAATGAGGCGTTGATGATTTTCATAGATTCTGGAGAACAAAAATCCATCAGGTACCACCATTGAAGGATTTTATCATTCTGGAGATCAAAAGGACTGATTCAATGAGGTGTTGTGGAAAATTAAAGTTAGAGATGTAATGCCCATTAAATTAAATTATTCCTGGGGATGGATTGGAGAAGTTTTGGGATGGGAGATTGACCAGTTTTGGGGTTTAAGTTCAGTTGAAGAAGTTTGGGAGTGGTGTCATCATAGATACTTGCATTCGAAATCTCTCAAGAGTCTTTTTCCTGCTGCCCTTTGAGCTGTTTGGAAGGAGAGAAATGTAAGGCTGCATGACGGGGTATCTATTTCCCCAGAAGTAGTAGCTAGAACTATACTTTTTGAGGTGCTGCACTCTCAAGATGCTAGTTTAACAGCGACTTTGGGTTAAGGTTGCTGCAATAATTGTGCTGCTGTTGCTGTCTTTCTGAGTCTAGAGAATTCTTTTACTTTGGTTTCATTTATCCTTTGTAGCGTTCAGTTTTAGTTTATTATGTTTGTAATGTTTGAGGGTATGCCTTCTATGCATTTGTAATTATTTCTTCTTCTTTTTATACAACACCAATTATGAAAATATATATATATATATATATATATATATATATATATATATATATATTTAATTATTCCTAGTCATTTTATAGTTCTTGTCATTGTTCAATGATGTGTGTTTCCATCTTCCCAGATCGAATGCATCTTTCTAATGGAGCCAAGTGCATCTTTCTAATGGAGCCAAGTGCATCTTTCTTCCTACTATAATGCTTTCAGTCAAGTCAGATGTATTCATCACAAAGAGTTGTTATTTGCTGCTGTACTAGAAGTCAAACTGTACATTGAAACAATTACTTTGTATTATTTTTTAATTATCGATCTATATGCTTTTTTGAAGAAGAAAATTTTATTTTATTTTATAATAATTCCTAATTTTATTTTTTCTTTGTTTTTTGTCTACAGCTAGGTTGGTCAATTGCTATTGGTGTTGAAGATATATATTGTTTTCAACATTATCAGTAAGGAGCTAGGTTAGAATTTCTATTATTGTAATTATTATTATATTTTGTATAATTGTGTGTTGTGAATACTTTATTCTTTATCAGATGAAGTTCCAGTATCTATAGATTGCTTCATCTCGTATGCTAATGTTTTGAACTTTAGATTGATTAAAATTTGAGATGACAAACTAGTAAATGAACTAACTGTGTGGTAAATGACCTTCAAGTGCTCACTAGTGTGAACTGACCTGTGCTAAATGACTACAAGCAATGTGACCTAAATGATCCATGTTCTAATTGTCATGAATGCAACACATATGAGAATTATGCATAAACGAGCTACAGATGCAAATATTCATAATCAGCAATTAATAACATAAACACATTACATTAATCACAAACCAAATAAAAAACACATTACTAACAAAACATTACATTAAGCACATACCAAATACAAAACACATATTAAGTCACAGAACCATAACTGCATATTTTCTTCATAACACATCCATGATGCTAGTATATAACACATCAATCCATTATGCAAGCTGCATATTTTCTCCCCCTTTGGCATCATCAAAATAAGCAATGGAGTCTAAAGGTAAGGAGCGATGATGTGAGAGTGCTAGCAAGTGACCAATTGCAGAGCAAAACAGGGCATGCATATTAGCACAGAACATAAACATAGCTGAGATAGAAAATATAGGAAAATCACAGAGCATACATAATGCTAAGATAGTTAAATAGGAAATTATTAACCCAAAGGGTAGCTAGCAAAGCTTAATTAACGGCAAAATGTTTAACCCAAACAGGCTAAGCACAAACATAATTAGTTAAATATCCAAACAAATTCTAAAAATACTAATTATTAACTTGAGTTAAGACTAATCATAAGTAAGGTAAACATCCAGAAAAAATTTTAAAGACGAGTAATTGACAAGAGTACCTAAATCAATAATTGCAACCTAGAAATAATTCATGACACATAATCTGGCAAAACTGTTGCTGTGAAGATACTCTATTGGGTGTTGTTTATGACCTAAAACCTTTGGATACAGTTCACAACCTCATTGTTAAAGGTATTACTATATTCTCCATTTGATTAATCTGTTACAACTAAAATTTTCTAATCATTCATCATTTTTTCAGTATAGATAGAGGGCAAAAACTTATTAAAAAAAAAAAAAAAAAAAAGTATAGATAGAGGGCAAAAGAACGCATTCAAAGTAAAAATAATAATTGCAACACCAAACAGATTATGTTGTTTGTCATATTTTAGTAATCTGTGACAACATTTACATTTTCTTTTCTGGCACATGCTATCCAGTATCCAGAACACATGTTGAATCTTAAACCCGGTCCTAACTCATTGAATTGATAAAATTAGTTTTTGGAACTAAACTTTTCTAATCATTCATCATTTTTTCAGTATACATAGAGGGCAAAAACTTATTAAAAAAAAAAGTATAGATAGAGGGCAAAAGAACACATTCAAAGTAAAAATAATAATTGCAACACCAAACAGATTATGTTGTTTGTCATATTAGTAATCTGTGACAACATTTTTTTTTTCCTAAATGAAGAAAATTTTATAAACATAAAAAATCTTGAAGATGCACCCCTGCTACATCTAAAGCATCCCAAACAATGCATTTCACTAAAGTGGAAGGAACTCTAGATATATCATTATGTAACCTTCCATTCCGTTCATTCCATATATAGTATATAGTGGCTGTAAACATCATCTTAAAGACCTTATTCCGGCATGACTTTGTACGAAATTGAATCCCCATATCTGTAGCAAAGACTTCAGCACTGTGCAATTTCTGAACCCTCCAATGAAACAAGTGAGCCAAACCACACCAAACTTCCCAGGGATAAACACAATTAACAAACAAGTGATTCACATTCTCCACATTACTGCCACAAAAACAACATTGAGAAACTAGAGAAATACCCCTTCTCTGTAGATTGTCATCCGTTAAGACAGCATTGTGTAATATCAGAGCACCATGAACAGACCAGCGAGGTCTCCCTCCATTCCAAACCAGATCATACCAAGGAACCTCAGGGATTGAAATCCTGCAAGACTCCCAAGCATCCTTAAAAGTAAATGGCTTATGATTCCACAAAATTCGATCCGCACCACCATAAATCCTATTCTATCTCATACACTGCTGGATTTCAAAAGGAACATCATCAACCTCCACTGAGAGTTCACAATAAAACTGCTCAAATCCAATTGCTTGTTAGTGGAGACCATTCTCAGAGTTCTAAAACTGAACATATCAGTTAAAGACTGCCCTCCACAACCATGGATCCAAGAAAGTTTTAATATTTTGCCCATTACCAATATGATAAGAAACATTGTCCTTCAATATCCCTCTAACAGCAACAATGTCCTTCCAAATAGCTGAATGAATGTCGCTTGGAATGACAGACCAATATGAAGCTCTCTTGGGATTACATTGCCTATACCATGCAACCCATAATCTGTCTTTTGAAAGAAGAAAATCCCAAGCCAAGGAGCACTTAGCAGCTCTGTCAATATCAATTAATCTCCTCAAACCAAAACCTCCCTCAGTTTTTGGAGAAGTGATTTTCTTCCAACACATACCATGGAGCTTCACTGTCTTATCAGCATGACCCCAAGCAAAATTCCTCATCCTTCTTTCAATAAGGTTCACTACAGCAGCTGGAATAGAGTACACTGAAGACCAAATTCAATTCAATTCAATTCTACCAGGAATAGACAAATTCATACCAGCCCACCTTGATGTTGCAGCAATTATCATATCCATTAAAGGCTTACAATCCAACCTCTTGAGACTCCTATCAGAAATAGGTAGACCTAAGTAAGTGAAAGGTAAAGATCCATGTTTACAGCCCAAAATTCTCAAAACAGCAGCCTTCCTTCTCACAGACCTAGTGAGATAAACTTCAGATTTATCTGTATTCACCACCAAACCAGAAACATCTGCAAAGTGTTGCATCATTCTTCTCAAGGTGAACACTGAAGCCATATTAGCTCTCACCACCACAAGCAAGTCATCAGCAAAGAATTGGTGAGTAACGGATACTGTTAGCCCTTCTAGCAGCAGAAGAAGCAACCAGATTCCCTTTTCTATATTCAAATTCAAACATAGAGGACAAGTATTCAGTTACCAAAGTAAACAGCAAAGGAGAGAGGGGGCAACCTTGCAGAATCCCTCTAGAAGGCTGAAAAAAACCATGAGGGCTCCCATTAACAAGAAGAGAGAACCACACTGTTGAAATAGAAGCCTTGATCCAAGCTATCCATTTAGTACCAAAACCATAAAGCTGCAGTAAACTTATCACAAAATCCCACTGAACTGAGTCGCCTAAGGTCAACCTTCCAAGCTAAAGTAGGTTGAGTAGTCTTAGCTCCAAACCCTCTCAACATTTCAGAAGCCATTATGATATTATCTTGAATTTTAATCCCTCCAATAAAAGCATTCTGCTCCTTTCCAACAATTTGGTCCAGAACCAGACCTAATCTGATTGCCAAAATATTTGTGATGATCTTATATAGAACATTACACAGAGAAATTGGCCTGAAATCACCCACTTTATCAGCCTCCTTAGCCTTAGGAATCAAAGTAATAAATGTGCTATTAAGTCCCTAGTCCATAACTGAGATATGAAAAAAATGAAGCACAGCACTACAAACATCTTCACCCACAATCCCCCAATAATCCCTAAAAAACCTCACAGTGAAGCCATCTGGTCCAGGAGCTTTATCCACTCCCATATTAAAAATAGTGAACTTGATTTCATCCCTTGTAATTGATCTTTCAAGTCTGGCAGCCTCTTCTCCAGAAAGTGTTCTTCTGATATGATCTGCAGAAGGTTGAGTAACCTGTCCTCCTGAAGAAAATAAAGACATGTAATGTTTCAGCAGTAAATCTTTAATACCATTTTCATCTTTAATAAACTCCCATCATCAGAATCTTTCAGGCTAAGAATATTATTATTCACTCTGTGAGCTTTAATTTTCTGATTAAAAAACTTTGTATTCCTATCTTGATCTTTCTTCCATTTAATTCTGGCCTTCTGTGACACCAAAATTTCTTCATTAGACAAAGCTAAAGCATAGTTCTTTCTAGCTTCATCCTCCCTTTGGATACTCTCCACACACACAGGTGAATTAGACAAAGCTAACTGTCTCTCCTCCAAGGTATTTCTAGCTTCAATAACCTGTTCAAAAACTGATCCAAATTTTGTTTTGTTCCATAATTTGACAGGCTTCTTGACAGCTTGAAGTTTCCTAATAACCCTAACAATAGGATCCCCAATAACCCTAACAAGCCAAGCCTCTGCAACCACTTGTTTCATCACCGGTTGAGCATTCCAAACCTGCAAAAACCTAAATGGTTTCAGACCAGCAGCCATATTACTTGGAATCCTGACACAAAGACCCCAATGATCAGACAGTAAAGAAGAAGTTCGATTTTGGAAGATGGAAACATAATACTCCAATCTTCATTCATCAATCCGCGGTCCAGCTGAGCATAAATCCTTTTAGCAATTCGTCTATTGTTACACCAAGTGTACTTACCATTAGAGATTGGGATGTCAGATAGAGTTATGGAATCAATAACATCATTGAATTCCTTTAACACTCTTCTAGGGACAGTCTTCCCCCCTAATTTCTCCCCATTGCTTCTAATAACATTCCAGTCCCCAATAAGAAGCCAAGGACCAGAAATATAAGGTGCCATATCTGTCAAGCAATTCAAAAGATAATCTGAGCTTTAATTTCTATGATTTAAACCTCAACTATTGTAGGATTCCAGCCACACCAAATCCTACCTCCATACACAGCATCATAATTGTTACACCATTGCCAATTAGCCCCCAATCTACTACTAATTCTAATAAACTTTGAACTTTGAACCCTAGTCTCTACCAAACAGACCAGTGACAGAGAGTTTTTACTCACCCACGAGCGGATTTCTTGTTGCATCCCCTTCCTGTTGAGCCCCCTCACGTTCCACATTCCAATCATCAAGTAATATCAGAGGGTGGAACAGCTCCACCAGCCACCATACCTCTAGTAATTCTTGTACTAGCTTCCATTTCAGCTTCCCTTTTTCTCTGTTTCTTCCTCTGATTTTTAGTTAGAGGGGAATTGTTTTGTGGTGGATCATCTATTCCTTGTTTACCCTTTTCATCATGCTTACCCTCAGTTCCCTCTACTATTGTAGAGTTCATTTTGGGATCCTGTACCTCCGACCCTGCAAGGGTTTTTGAATGGATAGCTTGCCGCATAGTTTTAATAGGAGATACCTCAAGAGGTTCAATAACAGAAACTGCACTATCAACACTCTCATTATTAACTCCCTTCCCCATACCAATCCCTTCATGAATAATTAAAGCCCTGTCTGCATCTTCAGACACAATGTTTTCCTTTGATCTCTCTTCAATCATATCTTGGGTATCCACTTTCGCCTCGGAACTATTCTCCAAAGGTATATCTCCACTAGTCCCTGCAACATCTGATTTTCCTATACCTTTTCCCTATGCATGTGGAACCAATTTCCCTTTCTGTTTGACAATCCATTCTGAGGATGATTTCTTATTTTGAGCCTTGGACATTTGACCTCGGAATGATTATATCCATTGCATTTTCTACATAATTGTGGTTTCCAATCGTATTCAATAAACACCTCACACTCAATTCCATGTATGTCAACATTCACTACTTCCGGGAGTTCATCATGTACATCCACCTCTACCATTACCTTGACAAACCCTCCTCTCTCTCTAGCTAATGTAGCCTCATCAGGATACAGTGGTTTTGAGAATTGTGAACAAACCCTAGCAATGGACATATTCCCTGTACAATGCATAGGAAGATTAAACAATTGGACCCAAATTGGAACTGAACCCAATATCTCCTTCTCCAGATTCACATTCTTGTCCCAGCGCTTGAGAATCATAGGTCTTCCCTGATACGTATGTATACGCTGAAGGATAGTATTCTCATCATCAAATCGCACCATGAAAAAACCCTTTGGCAACGAAATCAATTTGAAGTTACCTGCAGTTTTCCAAATCCGTTTGAGGAAATCACTAATATGGTAAAAATAAGATCGTTTACCCACCAAATACCCTACAATAGAGTGTTTCCAGTACTCCACCTCCTCAATTGTATCTTCTTCCATGATCTTTACCACCTTCGCACCACGACATTCTGGTAAGTATGGGAGTATCTCCATCTTTTTCTGTAAATCATCATCAAAAATACTTCTCCATGAAGGTTTCTGTTGCTCTTGATGCACGTTCGTTTGTTGAGTAATTGGTGCATGGGGTAAACCAGCCCCCATTGGCGGGGTACAGGAGGGAGATCCCTCCCCCATATCGTCACCACCCACCAGAACTCACCACGGTGGACCAGTTAACCGGAAGCGTGAGAGGAAAAAATCGTTAAGTCTCCAAAAACCCTAGATCGTGAATTGAGAGAAAAAGGGTAATATGGTCATAGCTCCAAAATAGTTCAATCTGTGACAACATTTACATTTTCTTTTCTGGCATGCCATCCAGTATCCAGAACACATGTTGAATCTTAAACCGGTCCTAACTCATTGAATTGGTAAAATTAGTTTTTGGAACTAAAATTTTCTAATCATTCATCATTTTTTCAGTATAGATAGAGGGCAAAAACTTATTAAAAAAAAAAAAGTATAGATAGAGGGCAAAAGAATGCATTCAAAGTAAAAATAATAACTGCAACACCAAACAGATTATGTTGTTTGTCATATTAGTAATCTGTGACAACATTTACATTTTCTTTTCTGGCATGCTATCCGGTATCCAGAACACATGTTGAATCTTAAACCTGGTCCTAACTCATTGAATTGGTAATATTAGTTTTTGGAATTTATCCTTAATAATTTATCCTTACCAATTCGAGAGCTTAAACTCGGCAAGTTCATAATTAGCAGTGCCAAGATGAAAAGGGCAATGGGCAGCTAGTTCCCAATTCGACGAAGAAAAGAAGAAGATGGGTAGAAATCATAATCAACAATCGCAACTAACTCAGATAACACTTTGGTATTTATTATTTATGTCTTTATCAAGATTGATTTGCAGGATATATTATGAGTTTTATTAATTTACGTGAGCTAAATTTCTCCCTTATCTCACTTGTGGATAGGTAAGCAGATATACCAGTCAGTATACAGTGTAAACTTGCACACTGAATAGAGAAATAGAAAGGGAACAAATGAAGATGTGGAGGCTTGATTCCAGGATCTCAAAAAACCAAGGCTTTGATACATCAATCTTCAAAATGGCTGAGAGTTTACTTCGTTTCTGTTGGTTTCTTGCCATTCCAATTTTGGTTTCAAGTGATAACACCAAAATTGTGGTGTCAAAGGATGGGAGTGGAAACTATAGCACCATCTCAGGAGCTGTTTCTGCAATACCCAATTCGAGTTCAATCACTTACACCATTTACATCAAGCAAGGAATTTACACTGAAGAAGTACATGTGGGTCAGGAGAAGAAAAGTGTTGTGTTCTTGGGAGATGGAATTGGCAAAACCATAATACAATTCAGCAAAAGCAACTCCTCAGGTTACCGGACATCCAAATCGGCCACTGTCGGTATGTTACCAAATCATCCCATCCCTCTTTTTACATTGTCATTTTAAGACCTTTTATGTAGCTTCTACCCTCTCCATTAAATGGCTACCAGTACTTGTAATAAATTGCTCAAGACATAGGTTGTTACACATAACTTTTATCCTCTCCGTTAAATGGCCATCAATGCTTCATTTTCTAATGCAAAGTGTAGGTAAAGAAAGAATGTGAGGAAATAACAGAGGAATATGGTATCAGTTTCGTTACTACTAAATGAGGGTTGAATTAATTTTTTTTAGGAATGATCCAAAAAACTAAATGGTTTCTAGATCTTAAAATATTTCTGAGGGTAACTGAAAGATACACACTAGTGACCACAAGTCGTCCAAGTAAATAAGTTGACCTTCAGAGAAATTTACATACAAATTTCAATGTAAATGTTGCTTTTAAAATGTTAGGTTCATCTTTTAGTTACTACTCTTTATTCATAATTATTATTATTATTTTTTTTTTTTTTTTTTTTCTTGCTTCTTATTTGATCCCATTTAGATAACTATTCCCTGATGAAAACAAAATATGAATAATCAGAATTATATTCATGGTCCATGTCTTAATTTTGCTAAAAGACTATCAGAATAGCTACCACTAAAGCAACAATTTATTCACAAAGAAGTAGACCAACCATAGTTTGTGTATGACAAATAGAATCTGTAAGGTGAGGTGCTTGATTAAGCTGTTTTTCATATGACATCACAAGTTCACTTTCTCCCATGTCTCTGCAGCTAGTATTCATCCAAAAAGCATTAAAATAAATTGTTGCCCAAGGCAAAAGCAAAAACTTACAGCTACACACTACAAAAAAAAAATACTATGTCCAACATAACAAATAACAAAGCCCAGTAGAGGAAGAGATGTCTCACGCGATTTTGGATTAATCTTTGAAATTCTAGTAAGTATATATAATGGACTTCTTTAAATTTTAAGTTGTAATTAGGGTAAGAGAATCATCCGAGCTAGCAGGAGGCTCTTTATGATTTTCAATATGACAATAGCTTTATCTGGGTGCTGATACTGAGTGACATAGTGCAAATTTGTTGAGGGGGGAAACATTTAGCGAAGACAACAGAGATGTTTAGCTACCTTACATAATATTGTCACATTGCATTTGATCTAAAAGAAATAAGATTAATTAATATAATGTTTCCCTTACTTATTAGACTCGATGCACTGTAGAATCAAAAGTCATCTAACACTGTGTATATTGTTTACACGCAGATATAAAAGCAAAAAATTTTGTAGCAAAACACATCAGCTTTGTGAATTCTGCCGGAGTCAATGCCAGACAAGCAGTTTCCATTTTCAGTGAAGGCATCAATGATGCATACTACAGGTGTTCCTTCGAAGGATACCAGGACACCTTGTATATGAAAATGGGCAGAAAATTTTTCTATGAATGCAACATATATGGAACCGTAGACTTCATATTTGGTGACGCAGCCATCATGTTTCAGAACTGCAACATGTATGGAAGAAATCCCGGCAATAAAGGAAATCCAATTGTTGTAACAGCTGATTCGCGGGATATAGCGACAGCACATACTGGAATAGTAATTCAGAATTGTACCATTACAGCGGCACCAGATTTTGGACCATCGAATTCTTCCAGAGCATTCCTTGGACGCCCATGGAGAGAGTATGCAAGAACGGTGGTGATGGAGTCTTTCCTAGGGGATATCGTAAAACCTGCCGGCTGGTCACCGTGGGATAACAGCTCCAGATTGGATCATTTGTCCTATATTGAATACAACAACAGGGGTCCGGGAGCTGCAAACAGTGGCCGGGTAAAATGGCCAGGTTTTCAAATTATAACCAACTCTACCCAAATCCTACAATTTACTGCTAAAAACTTTATCAATGCAAGTGATTGGTTACCTTCAATTGGAATACCATTCATTCCAGGACTTATTGGAGGTTAAAACTAATGTAATTAAAATTATATGAATAATAAATGATGTGGATAGAAAGGAAAAGTGAATTGTCCTACCAAATGTAACTGACTGACTGGTTTGAGGCTCTGTTAGTTACAACTGGTCTTTTTAACTTCGCTATGTTTTCTGTAACTGTTTTCAAATCTTTGGTCTGTTTCTTGCGACTGGTTTTTTAACTTTAGTCTGTTCATGCCTTCACTCGATTAGATTGATGATATAATACTTACCAATACCTAGGTATACCTGTTTTAATTTTGCTAGATGCAAAGTAGGTAGTTAGAGTACAAGTAGAACTAGCTATATTCACTTGTTTCTTAGACTAGCTAATATTAGGTTCCATTTAGAGGAGAATTAGGTGTGACTAAGATGTGTGACGCAAATCAAGTAGTATTATGTGTAAATGTGTACTTTAATTAGACTTACGTAACTTTGATTTATAACTTTGATTTATAATTACAAATACATGAATGTTTGTAAAGTAATATATCTTGTTTTGTTTAACGTGTAATTAATTGTACTTGTACATAATTATGTTATGATCTTTGTACTTGTGTGCTCATTATTGATCAAAGTTTAAGTCTAGGATAACAATTGGCATCAATTAGGAGAGTTTAGGAATTACCAGGATTGATGATCTTAGTTTAGGTGTTTTTGTATGAATTTTGATGATTACATGTGTGTGTTGTTGATTGAGTTTAATTTTAGGAGAATTAGTAAGGAACATAGGCTAAAAATTGGAATTTTAAAATGGCTTAAGACGTCTACTCATCTTCCTCAAGATGTCTGCCTCTTCAGCTAATTGCAAGACACTGAGAGCAGGTTTCTGGAATTCTATCCACTAGACGTCTACTCTAGTAATAATTTCAAAATCAAATTTTGACTCCAGAGAGTTAAATTCTTCACCATATAAATTTTTATTCAAATCTTCACTACTAAGATTTAAAAAGATAGGACAAGACACTAGAAGGAGATGAATTAATTATTCCTTTAAAGGAAAAAGATTAAATCAAAGACCAATGCTTAGTTGCTAGATTCATTTAGTGCTAAATGTATTCCATTTTATGTAGTATATATTATATCATGACTTGTTAATTGGTAGCTCATGATCAACAACAACCACCACAAAGCCTTTTCCCAATTATTTGGGGTTGGCTACATGAATCCCATGTTTCCATTCCATTCTATTTAAGGCCATAGTCTCAGTCAATTCACATGTTATCATACCTTTCTGTACTAACTCTACCCAAGTTAACTTTGGAATTGGTAGTTTATGAACACTTAGTAAATTAGAGAGGTCATTTATTGTTACTAGGTATTGGTGATTCTGCATTTGTGTTATGACTGACATTTTTTTTTTTTTTTTGGTGGTAAATGTGGTGATTTCCATTAATATAAATAAACATTCAGTACAATTATATGGATAATCTGCATTGTCTTCACCTTATGCCCTTTAAATATTGCATTTGCATGTGCATTTTCATTAGTCAAATATATTTTGTCCTTAAGAGGTTAATAAACGCAATTTTAGCTTAGCTAAATATATTAGAACACTAAGTTATTGAATAAAGGAATTTTAGCAAACTTGTATATAACTACTCGCTAAGGCATTGTGTTCTAACTTGTATATCTCTACTCACTAAGGCATTATGTTCAAACTTGATAATCTAAATTTCACATAGTCTTTTTGTATTTATTAGATTATACTAGAGAGTATTTATTCTCAAGTGTTTGCATAAATCTCTCAATAGGTTTATAGTTGAACATGAAACTTTTAATTGGTAAATTACCTATAGTTTGCCTAAAGACTCAATCCTCCCCCTCTTCAGTCATTGTTTGGGCAATAGTGATATTCTAATCTCATTCTTACTTTTCATTGTGACATATAACTCTTTTTCATATAAGGTTCTTGGCAACTCTAATGGTAGTGACAGGAGGGGTGTTGAATTTGGAGTAGCACCACACGCACCATAAAGAATACGAATTTAAATAGTTTCAGAAGAACCAAACCTGCAACTCAACAAAGGAGTTACGCTCTTATGGGGCTCTGCCCATATAAAGTTGATGTAACTAAAATCTAGAGGTGCAATGTCTATAATTGAATAGCTTTATAAAAATGAACCTTAAGAAAACATAAAAATCAAACAGACTTGACATCTGAAATTGAAATAGTTGAAGGATTTGACATATGAAATTGAAATCGTTGAAGGATTTAAAAGTTGAAGTTACACCCTCTCTAATAGCTTAAGCTTTTAGAGTAGACGGTTGTTAACATGGTATTAGGCATAGACGGTTGTTAACATGGTATCACAGCAGGAATAGACGATTCAAACCTCACCGTCACCCTGATAATTAAAATTGAAACACGTGTTGGACCAAAAGAAATCCATACGTGAGAGAGCGTGTTGAGAATAAATCATTAAAGAGGCTTTCCATGTTAAACCACCTAGTTCATGCACCTCATCATGTGTGCATATGCTGGTACACACACAAACACAAATGGACATGCACACGTGCATGCACTCGCACACAGAGACACATGTGCACCCAATCATTTGGATTAAAGAAATCATTTCATCATAAAGCATGAAAATATAGGGAAAATGATCAACCAGCTGAGTTGTGGAATTAGACACACAATTAAGACATATATTTATTGATTCAAATAATCGGATAGATCAAATTATTATGAAAATAGGATTTCAAGCACAATAAAGATTTTATATGGCATAAAATAGCATGTAAATAGGATTTGCGAAATGAAATTCACATGCCTTGCACATAAAACATGGAAATCATCAAAGGGGAAAAAAAAAAAAGAAGTTTATATGGCATTGTAACAATATAGAATAGACAAATCGAAGAGTCAAATAAATACATTACCAATACAACTAATGAGCAAAAAAATACAATATATTTCATATCATGCAAATATTACATTAAAAGAAGGGAAAAGTACAACAAAAGAAGCCACAAAGTAAGGAAATAAAGCTGAAATATTAGAGATGCAAACTTTAATCAAATTTTAATAGAAGATAAGATAAGATGGTATCTCATGTATGTAGATTGTGATCTCAAATTTTAATCAATCTAAAGTTCACAACATTAGTATATGAGAGGAAGCAATCTATAGATACTGAAACTACATCTGATATATAATAAAGTATTCACAACATGCAATTATACAAAATAATAATAACAATAATAATTAAAATTCTAACCTTAAAGCTCGTTACCAATAATGTCGAAAACAATAGATATCTTCAACGCCAATAGCAATCTACCAAGCAAGCTGTATGCACAAAAACAAAGTAAAAATAAATAGGGAATTATTGTAAAAATAAAATAAAATAAAATCTCCTTCACAAAAACATATAGATTGATACTTTAGTGTACAGTTTGAACATTTAGTTTAAAAAGTAACTCTTCCTTTGTGATAAGCACATTTGACTTGACTAAAAACATTATTGTAGGAAGAAAATTAAATACATGTCATGATAAGAAGAAAAATATAAAATTAAGGCCGAGAGTGATAAGTGTTCAGGGACAATGATCTTAAGGATATATATGATCAAAGGCTGTGTAATACATACAAAATAAATGAGACAGTAAAGCACTTCACACTCCTCCTATGATGCATGAGAGATATCAAACATTTTTGAGAAGTTGGTAACAAATAAACCACAGAAGAACGTGGCATTACCCAATGCATGCTAAACAACCCAAGAATAAGATTCCAACAGTCGCGCGCCACGGGGCAATGCATAAGGATATGATCAATTGACTCACCATCTTTGCTTGCATAGGCAACACCAATTAGCAAAGCAATTTCCCCTCTTCCTCAAATTATCAATTGTCAGTATCTTACCCCATACAGCGGTCCATACAAAGAATGCCACCCTATTTGGAGCCAAAGAACGCCATATGGTCTTCCACGAAAAGCCCAGGCTATCAAAATTAGACAGACATAAGAACAAAGATCTTACTTCAAGACGACCATGAGAAGATGGAATCCATGTCAGGTCGTCACAACCTCTGCCAACTCCCTCCTGTCAATACAATTGATCCAAAAAGACACATACCTCGTCCAACTCCCAATCCAATAGTTATGAAGCTTGTGTGTGATGAATGTTTACAGGACAGCTACCTGTTTGATTCTGTACTAGCATTAGATAGTTGATAATTGATGTTGTTTGATAATATATTGTTGTGTTAACTACATCATTGATGTTTTGCTTATCCACTCTACATCTCACTCCAAGTAATCATATTTCTTAGCTTGTTGAGCTTATCCTTAGTGTAATATCTTTTATTATCCAGCTTATTGTTAATGATTATATATTGCTGGTATATATTATTTGCTAAATGTTCTAATACTATAGTTAGTATTGGATGCTCAATTTGATAGTTTCTGATGAGGTTCATTCATGAGTTGTTCCTTATGCCGATCTTCTAGTTGGTTTTAGTTGGGGTTCTCTTAGATTCCCCTTTCTTTAATGGTTTTGTTTCTATGATAAATAATCATTTTGGAATATAATACTAGAACTAAAACCCCTATAACCTTGGTTCTGGATTATGTGTCATGAATTACTTCTGGGTTGTAATTATTGATTTAGGTACTCTTGTCAATTACTTGTCGTTAAAACCTTTTTTCTGAATGTATTACCTACTTATGATTAGTCTTAAGTTGATAATTAGTATTTTTACGGGTCAATGGGGAAGGGCTCTTGAGATAGGCAATTTTTAGGGGGTTTTTGGTGGCTGCATTAGGGTTGCGCGAGGAAGACAGTGTTTTGCTTGCATGCAGGAGGGACAACCCTCCTCCTTGCCCACTAGACCTTCTCCCACCCATAACCAGTCTACACCGCGAACTTCATGGAGAAACTTGTTCACTTCTGCATTGGAGAATCCAATAGTGAACCTCTCTTTTATTCAAGATTGTCACAATTCGAAGACGGGGCATATTGAAGAAGAAGATGTACAAGAGGAGATTGATTACTGGAGATTGTCCGTTACTGGAGATTGTCCGTTGTAGGCTGTGATGGGCAAGAAGCCCTACTTTCCTTTCCTTAAATAATTCATAAATAAACAATGGGGTGATTCTGTCAAGGTGGCTCAACTGAAGAATGGCTTCTTCCAAGCAAAGTTCATACCTTTAAGGGGAGACTGATCGTCAACAAAAAGTGGGACAAAAATGTGAATCTAGAGAGGGATCTCTGCTTGGATCAGTTCCAACATGAGTGAAGCTATATGGATTGCCGATTCATGTACGCAGTACTAGAGCAAATCTAAGGTCTGTTCTATGTTCTCTAAGCCATTATATATGGATGAATCTTCAACTTCTATAGGTGGAGTTATGTTTGTTAGAGTAATGGTTGAGCTCGACGTCCATAGGGAATTCCCAGATGAAATTTCGATTTTCAATCATGGAGAGGAATGTAGAGTGGGGGTGAAACATGATTGGAAACCACAGGTACACATTCGGTAAAAGAGTGGATCATCTTGTGGGAAAATGTCTACAAAAAGTCAATCAAACCAATAAAATGAAGAAAACCACTGAAAAGTGAGTGATCAAGAAGGGTGGGAAATTAATTGAGTTGAACAAGGCCAGTGAGGAGACGGAAGTGGTGCCAATGGTTGAAAAGACATTGAGACCTCAAACCCATTTGATGTGTTGCAACACAATGAAGATGATGTTACAGATGGTATTGAGGCTACAGAGGAAGATGGGATTTACACCATAAATAAGGATGATGTTTTTGACGTTCAAGTCAGTGGTGATAAGGTGGCTTCCCTTGAGACTGGAGAAGATGATGCTAATGTGCAAAATGTGATTGAACAGAGACGGATTGGAAGATTCAGGTGGTCCTGGTTCAGTGATGCAATAGAGTAATGTCGCAGATGATACAAAGCATATGAAGGGAGATGAAACTGGCAGAGACGCAGAGAAAAGGGATTCTATCATCCTGTTAGAGTGTTTCTCAATTTCATCATAGTGCTTTATTTGAGGTGAAGAAATCTTTAGTTAAGGTAGACCTATGAAGAGATCCTTGTTCAAGGTAGAGCACGTACGTGAAGACATATTTTGATCACGTGTTGATTATGTGAAGAATAGGGGTATTCAAAGTTGCCGATTTTGGCTTATCTTTGGCAACTGCCAAAGTTGAACCGGTTCAAGTGGGGCTAAACCGGTTCAACGTGCGTGTGTAGTTTTTTGGCTTTGGCTACTGCCAAAGTTGAACCGGTTTAACTTAGACAGTGAGTTATTGGAAGCTACGAAAAACAATTTCCTAATTAGTTTTGGAAGCCAGAAGACTTGGGAAAAAAGCAAAAGATTTGGGGAAGAAGTTGTACATCTATTTTAGAGTTGAAGACTGATATGGTAACTCCTTGTAGGCAAGTTAATCCTTGTCCAATAAGGATTTGGATTTGAAGACTCTATAAATAGATATGGGTACGAGAGATTTGGAGATAGAGAGAATTGTACAGAGAAAAAGAGAGTTGAGATTGTGAGAGAGAAAAGAGTGTGTAATCAAGTTTTGAAGTAAAGTTAGTTGTTCTTCGCCCATGGACTAGGCAATTTGCCAAACCACGTAAATCTCGTTTTTTGCTTGTGAGTGATTTTTTATCTGTTACATTTATCAATTATCTGTGTGAAACCCTAACAACTGGTATCAGAGTCATGGCAGCAACTATTACAGATGGAAAGTACGTGGTAGAGAAGTTTGATGGAGGAAAGAACTTCAGTTTTTGGCAAGTTCGGATGCGAGATTTACTGATTCAACGTGGTTTAGAAGATGCTTTGGGTAAGCAACCAGGAAAGACAGAAGATGCAGATTGGGCGAAGATCAACTTGAAGGCAATGAGTGCAATTCGATTAACGTTGGCGAATGATATTGTGTATGATGTGATAAAAGAAGATTCAGCAGCAGACATGTGGAAGAAGTTGGAGAATCTGTATATGGGAAAGAATCTCACCAACAGGTTAGTTTTTTTTTTTTTTTTTTTTTTGATAAGTAATAATTGAATTAAAAAAGCGTTCAATAGGGGCACGCATCCCTTATACAAAAGTGGAACTGAGGTTTAAGGCCCCAAAAAAGCCATAAAGATAATAAATCTTTGGAAAAGGAACAAGACTTCCTTTTCACATAACTGAAAAGAGAGCGTATGATATGGAGTTTCAGAATCGCCGTGGACGATTCTTTCCCTTCGAACATTCTACTATTCCTCTCTTTCCAAATGCACCACCAGACATAATGTGGTATAACTCTCCAATAATCACAAACAGCACTACGCACGAAACATTCTCTCCAAATACGAATCAAATCCTTAGGATAACGAGGCATAACCCAACGCATACCAAATAGACAAAAAATAATATTCCAACAATCCCTCGCCACAGGACAATGCATGAGAATTTGAGCAACTGACTCACCATCTTGTTTGCAAAGGCAACACCAGTTAACAAGACAATTATCCATTTTCCTTAGATTATCAATCATCAGGATCTTACCCTATACAGCGGTCCAAACAAAGAATGCTACCCTAGTTGGAGCCATAGAGCGCCAGATAGTCTTCCACAAAAAACCAACTACATCAAAATCGGAAAGACATAAGAATATGGATCGAACTTCGAAGCGACCATGGGAAGAGGGAATCCATGTCATATCATCACAACCTCTGCCAACTGTCTCCTGTTGATACAACAGATCCAGAAAAACACATACCTCTTCCACCTCCCAATCTTGAAAAGAGCGTCGAAATTGCACATCCCACGTAATCCCACTACTATCAAGCCGATAACAGTCTGCTACGTAGGCATGTCTATCAACTGCAATACTATATAATCTGGGGAATAATCAAGATAACGGCCGGTCTCCACACCAAAGATCCTCCCACAAGCGTACTCACCTGCCATCACGAACTTTGAATCTAATATGAGTGGAAAAAGTATCCCATCCCTTCCGAATGAATTTCCACGCTCCTACTCCTCCCACGAAAGAGACCGAACGAGTAAACCAACCACCACCAACAGGTTAGTTTTAAAGCAAAGGTTGTATTCCTTCAAGAGAAAAGAAGGGGTAAGCCTTCAAGAACATCTTGGTGAGTTTAACGAAATTATTTGTGATTTGTCTAACATTAATGTCAAGTTAAGTGATGATGATAAAGCAATTATTTTGTTAACGTCGGTACACTCTACCCATAAGCATTCATTGAATAATTTGCTTTATGGGAGAGATACCATCTCGGTGGAACAATTTAAAAGTGTTTTGTTCTCTAATGAAAAGTTAA